AGGCTCTCGACGCTCAGGGGCAGGGCCCGGAGCCGGTTTGAGCTCAGCACCAGCGTCGTCAGAGTCGCCAGATTGCCGATCCAGACTGGGAGGCTCGCGATCCGGTTGTTGCGCAAGCTCAGCACCGAAAGGGCACTCAGGGCACTGAAAGACTCGGGCAGGACGCACAGCTGGTTGTTGTCGAGGTGCAGCTCGGTGAGGCGCTCGAGGCGCCCAAAGGTATCGGGGAGCTGGACGAGCTGGTTGTGGCCGAGATAAAGCTTGGTGAGCGACGAGAGGCTGCCGATCGAAGCGGGCAGCTCTCGAAGTTGGTTGTTGTTGAGGTGCAGGACCGACAGACTCGACAGGTTGCCAAAGGACGCCGGCAGGGTCGTCAGGCAGTTGAACTCGAGGTGCAACTCAGTTAGCGAGGCCAGGCCGCCAAAGGACATTGGCAGGGAGCGGAGGCAGTTGCGGTGCAGGTCGAGCTGCGAAAGTGCAGCGAGGCTGTCGATGTGGGGCGGCAGGGCAACGATCTCATTGGAGCTGGCCGAGAGCTTGGTCAGGGCGGAGAGACTGATCACCGAGTCCGGCAGCGTAACGAGCTTGTTGCTGTTGAGTGAGAGCTGCGCGAGCGACGCCAGCTTTCCCAGGGACCGCGGCAGTCCCGCGGTCGTGATTTGGGTGTGGTTGAGCTCCAGACGGACGAGGCTGGCAAGACGACCCAGGGTCTCTGGGAGCCGGGCGATAGCGTTGTTGCACAGATGCAGCTCGGTAAGGGCAGCGAGGTTGCCGACGGTGGGCGGCAGCGACGACATTTCCAGGAAAGGGCCGAGGACGGCGATGGAGGCGGCATTGCCGATCGAGTCGGGGAGGGACTGCAGCTTGGGGAGCAGGTCGATGGTTTTGGCAAAGTCGCCCCAGACGCTGAAGGCGTTGACGACGGAGCGATCAAACAGGTTTTCGGGCACATCTTGACCAAAGTCCTGGGCAGCAGACCACCGCCGCATGAGCCGGCTGTCGTGGCGGGCACACTGTCGCATCGTGGCCGCAAAGAGAGCGTCGTCCTCGGCCACAAAGGACCAGAACAGGTCCTCGAGCTCGTGGGGTTGTGGGCCGGAGCGGGTGAAGAACGAATGGGCGCCCAGGGCCAAGTACTTGTATGTCCCGCCGGGAGGACAGAGCAGGGCCGGGACACCCAGCAGGTTGGCAAAGCACTGCCGCCAGGCGCGGCCGGAAGGTGCAGCGTATCGTGCGGCCAGCTGCCGCGAGCAGCGGGCGAGCTTGGTGAGAACGAGGGGATCGAGGTGGCCGGAGAGGGCCAGAAGGTCGAGCACGGTGACGAGAGTCAACTGCGAAAGTGTTGTGGAAGACATGGTGGTCTGGATATCGGGGGAGTGTGGGTGGAAGTGGAGGGCCAGAAAGGCAACACTCGAGGCAGTAATGAGCGAGCTGGGATGCGCAAGTACAGGGAAAGTAATCCACTCGCTGGCCGGGACGCAGACTCGGACAGCACACAGGAGCGTAGAGGAGGGCTCGATGGAGGGTTCGCGGAGGGTTCGCGGATGGTTCGCAGATGGCAGAGATTCAGTCGTTCCCGCCGGAGGATGGGCTGCAGGACGGGCATGGGAAGCGGCGACTTTTAAGCCAAAGGCCCGAGGACAAGCGATAGGGAATGTCGGGCGCCAACCATGCGGATATCCGATAACGCGGCCAATCAGCGGGCGGCACGGGCGATAACGGGGCGAGATTTCCGGACACAAGCAAAGGGCCACAAGACCCACAGGCGACGCAGCACGGCTCACTGGCGATCGCTGCCGCACGGCCCACATGCCGATACGGCGCGATTCGCTTGCAGACGCCGATGCAGCGATGTGCCCATCGGTGTTGAGTTGTGGTGTTGAGTTGTGGTGTTGAGTTGTGGTGTTGGGTTGTGGTGAGGGCGTCCACGTGATGCAGCCGTTGACGGCGATGGATGGCGTGGCGGTATCAACGGAGGCGCCATCGGTATCCGAGTCGGATGCGTTCGATGCATTGGATGCGGTCGATGCAGGCGATGTCATCAGCCAGGTCATGCTATCGGCCAGGTCATGTTATCAGCCGAGCCAATATCATTCGAACGGAATCAGTCATCACACAGACAGCTTCCGTGTGGCTCAACTACTCTGTGGCACCCATGGGAACACCGAGTCACTTTGAGTAACCGCAGCGCGCCCACAGCCACAATGCAGGCCGCAGCAGCAGCTTGCACCACACGATCCGGCTGGCAGATACGCGGGAACACATGTGTGACGATCGGGTGCACGAGCGCACGCAAACGGAAGGCGGCAGACCACGCCGCACACAGACAGTGCGCACCACGCAGCACGCCGGCAACCACAGCCACAGCGCCTCCACACAGACAGCCGCATTCCCACCCCCCGCCTGGCTCCGGGCTTCCCCCCCCTTTTTCTTTCGCCTCTGCCGCCTGCTTGCTCGCCTCGGGCTGTCTGCCGAAATCCCCCGGAGCCCTCCTGCACCTCCATCGCCTGTCTCCTCCAAAGCTTCCCCCCTGCCGTCGCCTCCTCAGGTCCCGTCGAACCTGCTCCACCACCCACCCGCCTCTCTCTTGCTCACGCTTTCGCCATGGAACGATACCTGCGACTGGAGCGGCTCGGCGAAGGCACCTATGCCACCGTTTACAAGGGCAAGAACAGACTCACCAACGAGATCTTTGCCCTCAAAGAAATCCACCTCGATCCAGAGGAGGGCGCCCCCTCAACCGCCATCCGAGAGATCTCGCTGATGAAGGAGCTCCGCCACCAGAACATTGTCCGCCTCTACGACGTCATTCACACCGACCGAACCCTCACCCTGGTCTTTGAGTTCATGGACCAGGACCTGAAGAAGTTCATGGATACCCATGGAAACCAAGGCGCTTTGGATCCCATGACTGTCAAAAAGTTCATGTACCAGCTGCTGAAGGGCATTGCCTTTTGCCACGAGAACCGGGTTCTGCATCGAGACCTCAAACCCCAAAACTTGGTACCGATCGTTCTGTCTGGTCTTGGATGCGCTGCCGTTTGGTGTTGGATGGCGGCGGCACTTGGCCGGCTATGTCCCTGGACTTGGCGCCCGGCCTGGCACGCCAGATCTCGGCAGTCTCCTCCTGGTGTGGACGTGGCTCGTCTCGCTGCTGCTTCCTGCCGCTGCCTGCTTCGTTGGTGCAGTTATCGTCACCGCACTCGTTCTTGCCCGGCCTCGGTGACGCTTTTTGGAACCGGCCTTCGGACCTGCTGCTGGCTGCCTCGCAGTCGGGCGGAGGGGTGGGGTTTGCCGGCCGACGCTGCCACTCTGCGGCAGCGGCGGCGGCGGCGCCTCTCCTGCCCGATGTGTGCCGTGCTTCGCCGCCTGCGCTGCCATTCCCCCGCCTTGATACCCCAACCTTGTGCGGGATGGCCGTCCGCCTTGACCGACAGCGATACTCACCGGGGTTCTTTCTGTCTCCGTCTTCTGTTCCAACAACCTCCCTGCTCCATCTCCCTTGTCCAAACGCACCCACCAAACATCTATCAACTGCAATGCTTGTGGGTCCACTTGCATCCACCCATCGGGCTCTTCCCCCCCTCCTACCCCGGATAACATCTGTCCGTGACCACGCTTCCAGCTCATTAATCGCAACATGGAACTGAAGCTGGCCGATTTTGGTCTCGCCCGTGCCTTTGGCATCCCCGTCAACACCTTCTCCAACGAAGTCGTCACACTATGGTACCGTGCCCCGGATGTCCTGCTGGGATCGCGCAACTACTCCACCTCGATCGATATTTGGAGCGCAGGATGCATCATGGCCGAGATGTTCTCTGGCAAGCCCCTCTTCCCCGGAAAGACAAACGACGACGAGCTCATCAAGATCTTCAAGGTCCTTGGCACCCCCTCTGAAACCACCTGGCCCCGAGTCGTCGAGCTGCCAGACTACCGCAAGGGCTTCCAATACTTCCCGCCTCAGAACCTGTCAGCCAAGCTGCCCATGATCGATCCCTATGGCATGGACCTCCTGCAGCGCATGCTCCAGTACGATCCGCAGAACAGAATCAGCGCCAAGGACGCCCTCAACCACGTCTACTTCAACGACCCCTCGCTGGCTCTCCCTTCCGCCATGCCAACCATGCCGCTCTCGGCCGGACAGGGACGCCAGGCCATCCCTCAGCCGCCAACGCAGCAGCAGACTTCCCAGGCGCAAGCGCAGTCGCAGGCGCAAGCGTCGCAACAGCAGCAGTTTGGCCAGGCACCGGGCTCCTCCGCCTCGACCATGAGCAGCGGCGGCCGCGTCGTGCCCAACCAAGTCTACGGCGCCGTCCCTGCCTCCAGCGTCCAGTCCAACCCGGCCATGCCTCACCATGTGCAGCAGCAGCTCTTGATGCAACAGCAGCAGCAACAGTACCTCCAACAACAGCAGATGAACCAGCACATTAACCAGCAGATCAGCCAGCAAATGAGCCAGGCTGTGAGCTCGCAGCAACAGCAGCACCTCTCCAACCACCACATGGGTGGCCCTCACTATGGATAAGTCGAATTGCCGCAGCAATCGCAGCCGTGATCGCCAAGGGGCGGTATGATTCTCATCTCGGTGGATCGATCCTGGCCGGCAGACTGGTCGCCGGTCTGTCGTCGCAGCGATGTGTCCATACTCTCCGGATGAGCCGCCGCCTGCCTGCCTTCTAGCACCGCTACAGCTTTCCTCCTGCCTTGCCTTACGTGAGACCTTTATGCGCTATCTGTTCTGGCCTGCCCCCCCCCTCTCTCTCTTTTTGTGTGCTTCTTGCGCTCCGTTTCTCCGACCCACCCTCGCTCGCGCTGCATTGATCGAAATATATAGCTCATGGCTGTCCGCACTCTGCTGTCGCAAGCCGAGAACGGTGCATCCGAGGTTGGTGGAGGCGATGGTGCTCTCCTACCGAAGTGCTGTCTGTCGTTTCCTGCGGTGACTGTGATCAAGGTCGCATCACAGCGTTTCCAAAACGCGCCGAGACAGCTCGTTTTCATCCTGTTTGGTGTGATCTCGCCTTCGTCTTCGTCTTCGTCTTCGTCCTCGTCCTCGTCCGCCGATCAACTTGCCGACTTGCAGCGACAGCCGCCATGAGCATCGACCCCCCTGTCACCCATGTCTTATTCGACATGGATGGCCTGTTGCTGGTGAGGATGCATCCTGGGTGCCGAATGGCTCCACGAGCCTGCGTCGCCTCGATCCCTTCCGGCTCCTGTTCTCTGGCTCACCATTCCAACACGCCAACACCCGTCGATCGCTCGCCCTGCTGGACCACCATCGTCGCCGGCTCCAGGATACCGAGGCCGTCTACACCAAAGTCACCAATGACATTGTGAGTCGGTACGGCAAGACCTATGACTGGGATCTGAAGGTTGGTATGCCAGCGATTGCTGGTGCCGTCAGGCCCCAAGACTGCCCATCAATAGCCACAAAATTGGCCCTCGCGATCCTCGCCGTGTCGTCGTCGCTGCCTCTATACTGACATGGGCTGCCCTGCTCCCAACAGTCCAAGATGATGGGGATGAAAGAGCGAGACGTAAGTGAATTCCTATTTTTATCCGCTCGCTGCGAATGGATCGGCATCGCGGATCGACACCCTGGATCGACACCCTGGATCGACGCCATGAATCGACTGGTTGCTGATCTTCCACTCCCTCTCCATCCAAGGCGGGAGAGCTGCTCGTCAGGACCCTCGGGATCCCGATGACCGTGGACGAATATCTAGCCGAACGCAACGCTGGTCACGTAAGCCATTGACATCCGCCGAGCAACATCCGCCATCTGACAGTGGGCCGCTCTGTCGATCTGTCTATCCGCTGGAGCTGGCCATGGCTGGCCGTTCTCAATACAGCAGAGAGCACCGAGATGCTCACCCTGGCCATTCCCGGGACGCTTGTCAGGAGGCGCTCTTCCCGCACTGCCGTCCGCTCCCAGGCGTCATGAAGCTCGTCTCGCATCTGAAGAAACACAATATCCCCATTGCGGTACGGATTATGGAAAGGCTCGGGGTGCGACGAGGAGGGGGGACGAGGATGGCTTCCTGGAAACGAGGGTGGATTGGCATGTCCTGACTCATCGGCATCTGTCGTCTACCCTGCTATCGGCGTCCGGGTTGGTAAATAGGTGGCCACCCGCTCTCACAGAAGTGCCTTCGAACTCAAGTCCTCTCTCAACGGCGAGCTCTTGGCCTCTTCGACGGCCACATCACCTGCGGCGACGATCCCAGCATCAAGCACGGCAAGCCCCGCAACCCGACTTGTTTCTTGGCCGCCAGCCAAGGGCCCTCGGCAACCCGCTCGTCGACCCGCGATCCTGTCTCGTTTTCGAAGACTCCAACCCGGGCGTGCTCGCCGGCCTGAATGCCGGCATGTCCGTCGTCTGGATTCCCGATCCCAACCTCAAGACCGATGACCCTACCCTGGGCGAACGTGTCTCGGATGTCCTGGGCTCGATGGAGGAATTCCAGCCCGAGAAGTATGGCTTGCCGCCGTACGAGTGAGCTTCGATTCGCGCATGATGTGAAGATTCAAGCCTCACATATTCACCGCGCACGGAATCGAAACAGGCCGCTCTGCTTTTGACGCCGATGCCACATATCTCTGCATCCTGAATACAGCCCATGTGCTCCGTTCAATATCGCCAAGTGCGCGGCACAGCCAGGAGCATATACCGAGCGTGCGGGTCGGCACCACTCGTGGCAATCGAGCAGTGGGATCCAAGAACACAATGCCAGAGACAAAGTGGGTCATTACTGTCAGTCGCAGGCGACATCGGCGGGTGCAGTTGTAGTTTGCAGTTGCAGGTCGGCAGTCGCTCATCGATCTGTCAGCGATCCGTCAGTCTAATGTGGGCGATGTGTTTCGAAACAAACAGGATTCACTCTATATTGTTCTTGGGTGAGCCTTAGTTGATCTGGACTACATCCGACATGGCCTCCAGCTTCAGATTCCGCAACGCCAGATGTGCTCCTAGAAACTGGAAGATCTTGACATCTCGGCCTGGGATTGAGAGCGAGAATGTGTGAGCGAAATCGGTGTGCGGTTGTGGCTCCACCAGACCACTATGTTGAACTGCCACATTATCAACGACGCGGCTCTGGAGGTGATGGACATTGGCCGAAATGCTTTGGCGTATGACTCACATGGCTGTTTGGCATGGAGATGCCCTGTTTCCCGCTGATCACTTCGACTTGAACATGGTCCTCGAGAAGCGACTTGAGCCTCGACAGCTGGAAGTAGGCAACGAGCACAGTCGGAATCAGTTCAACCCATGGCTCTAGCTCCAGCTCGTTTGTTGGCCGTCACAGACCGTTCACCGGAGCTGTGAATCACCAACCTGCCGTGTTCCAAGGCCGACGGAGGCGTCGATCGAGTCGTCTTTGGTGACTAATGCCCAGAGTTGTCTGCGTTCGACGGGGAGACTGGCTCGGACGCACGATGCAGCGTCAAAGAGCCCTCCGGCGATCGATATCACACCACCACATAGGATTGGAGCAGGCCCAGGCCCAGGTGCATCGAGATCGCCCCAGAGAGCCAGATCCAGAGCAATGGTGCCTCCCTGCGCGAATCCAAGCAAGAAGATCTGACCCGGGGGCCATCCTATCCCACTGCCTGGTGATTTCTCGATGAGACAGGCCGAAAGAACTCGACAAGCAACTTGCGAGTGTTCTGGACGCCGGTGGAAGCTTGGGGCGACGACCACGAGATCTCTGGAGATCCAAAGGAGGGTCAAACGGAGAATTCAGATCCAGATCCAGATCCAGATCCAGACCAGCAGCTAGTAGAGAGCAGAAGTATCAAGAGAACCAACCTTCTCCAAGTTGATCAAACGCCGGAAACCATCCAGTGCCGTCGTCAAAGTATGGGATTGGGGATGGCCTTGAGATGCCGTGGGGTTTTGGAGTTGGTCAAAGTGCAAACTCGATAGCTCTGCCAACACCAGTCCATCTCATACCATCTCATCTCATCGCATTCTCGGCGGTACACTCCGACTGCTTTACCCCCGAATGGCCAGCAAGGCTGTTTGCGGCAGTTGCATCTTGGCACCGAAGCTCAGGAAGTTGGCCGGGTTGTCTCCTGAATGGACAACGAGGTATGGGTGCGTGGTCGGTTTCAGTGGAGGGACTCATGCCTCGAGAGAAAGATTATGGAATGGTGCGGGAATATTTGACGATATCCGACGTCATCTGGATATCTATCACGCAAAGCATCCAGTCGGTTTATGACAATCGCGTGGTGTCGATGAGCGGTCTCGAAGATGCGATGGGAGAAGAGCAAGCCAGATCGGCAACCGACCCAGCCCGTGGAACAACACCAGCAAGTTCTCGTCGACACCATCGGCGCTGGCGAGATATGCGAATTTGACAGCAGGAAAATCGGCTTGGCAAGGAGGCCGTCGACGCAGCGGTCTTGGGTTCATGGGGCGATGGATATGAGAGACGCAGCACGAGCTTGATGAATGTTAAAACGGGGAACCAGAGCGATCGGGATGGCAACCGCTTTGTTCTTGCTCCCGCCTGATCCGGGGATTGGCCAACCATGCATGACTGGCCTCAGCGCCATCGGTGGAAGGGCACATCTGTTGACGACACAAGTGCCATTGACGAACTGGTGCGAACTCGGCCGGCTGCCAATGGCATCGCCTGCTCTCCTTTCTGCCCCTCCCCTGTGGCCCTCTCCTTTCGCTCTTCGACTTCGTCACCGCTCTCCTGCCTCGTCTGCACATCGTCGATTGCTGCTTCCTGTCTCTCCTCATCCCACCTCTCCGCCATGCTCAGAGCCTTTTCCTGTTGCTTTGGAGGGCTGGCAACCCCACCCAAGGACCGAGATGTCTCCTCACAGACCCCTGTCTCCCAACAACCAACATTCCCTTCCCAGCCCGATCCCTTGGGCCCCTGGCTCCATCCCGTCGAGTGTCTCATCAACACTGCCCGCGACGAGCCTGATGCTCTCCTGATTAACACATACGAGAACGGCGACTCGGAGCGCTTCAGCTATCTCCAGGTGTGGAGAAGAGCTTACTTGATCGCCCAGCCCTCAAGGCCCTCCCTGGCTGGAACGATGACGGCCACGACGTCATCGGCACCTTCTGCGAGGCTGAAGCCAGCTGGGTGATCTACTCGTTCGCCGTGTGGATGCTGGGCAAGTGAGTATCCGCTATTGGTGCGGTGTGATGTTGTGCTGTGAGTTGTGAACACTAATTCAAGAAAGGGACATGTTCAACCCTTGCTCCGTGCCATGTCAAGGGTCGAGTCTCACCTGTCTCTTGATCCTCCTTCAATCCAGGAAAACACTCAACTTTGCCCTCAACCTGCCTCCTGCAGCCCGCAAGGCCCTGTGCGAGAGGTATGTCCCTGCCATGTTGTCGTTAGGATGAGCAGGCTGGTCCGGGGGTTGAATCGAGTCAGCTATGCCTGATCCCGATCTGACACTCACATCACCATCAACCGACAGACATGCAATCAAGTACATTCTCTACCACCACACCAAGCCCGGCCGCACCGAAGGCGTGACGCTGGTCGATGCTACCACCTTCCCGGTGTTGGACGACATTCCATCTCCGTCCCTCGAAGTCTGTGAGCCTCTCAATGAGTTTGTTGCCTATTTGGGAACCTCCGGAACAACCGGTATGTGAGAGGAGTATGCGAGTGCCTGGGATTGCTGATAAGCCAAGGTCCAGCCACAAAGGTCGAGCATGGGAAGTTGAGCTCTAGCGGTTGCGACAGTAGATGACAGACATTGAAGCAACGGTTAGAAACCTATTTGACCTCTGTCTCAATCCTCAATACCGTTTCCTAATCACTCAAACAGGCATTCCGAAGACGTAAGTGACCCATGGTATTGCATCCATACTCCTCACTCGGATCGAATGAAATATCTAACTCTCAGTGCCTTGTGGTTCTTCAGATACAAGTTCCCTCATACTGGCGCAATCACTGGCCGAGCTGTGCTGGGGCTCAAGTATGTGAGTTCCGGGCTGTGCCAGGTAAGTCACACGATTCGAAGCAACAGAGGGGAGTCATCCATATATTGGGAGCTAACACGAAATGGCGATCAGGCACCTTCGTTTACTGCAACCCTAGGCTGGATGCTT